ATTTTCCAGATCTATAAGTCCTGCTTCTCTCTTGGTGAATAGTTCGGTCTCCAGATCATCTCTTTCTTCTTGCATGTTGTGATAAGCAGTGGAGGAACTAAGCTGGTTTTTCAATATTTTGCTTAGAAGCCTCCTCAGTTAAATATCCAGTTTGAGCATCTACCTTCCACAAAACATTGGAGCTGAAACACAATTCAAAGCCAAGTGCTTTGCCACTTTATAACAAGGACTACCTCTTTTCCATTGTCCTCTCATAATAACATGTCCCTCATTTCCATCTGAGACCTCATCAGAGCAGCCTTGAGGTAACATCCCTTTATCTTCCAGTGTTCTGCTTCTCACTCTTCTAAGAAGATGGAAGTCTTCTCTACAGAACTCTTTTCTTCCTGAGCTCTTAACAGAATCACCTTTACAGTTCGGTTCATGGCAGTCTAGGCCTTTTCTAGCGTGCGCCTAAAAACTCTTCCCATCATCCAGTTTAAAAGCCACTTGCACATTTTTCGGTACATATTTATCACAGAGAGAAGATGGACACCAATGTCTAATGACAGGAGAAAATGGACAGCCTAGCTCAGTCTGAGAGTAGATTTACCTTCTTCCGTCTATTGATGTGCTCGGGCCATAGACAGATTGAATGATGCCCACATACAGGGGGCAGGGTGGTCTTCTTTCCTCAAATCAGCACTTCAGATGCTCGGCTCTTCCAGACGCACCCTCACTGACTGACCCAGAAACAGTGTTTCCTCAGTATCTAGGCGTTGCCTCGGCCCAAACCGACACATCAAGTTAACCGTCACATCGAGTTAATACCGACAGTGTCCGTGCTTTAAGTGTTTCCTGCTCTTTTTATACAATAAGGGGGAAATTGTTCATTATTGTGAACATCACCTACTTGACTTTAGAGTCTCCAGAGACCAGAAGTGACCCTGTTTAGGGATGATGTGACATGGGAAAGCAGAGAGAAAATTCCATTTTGTTCTGTTTGCTATATGTACCTCGACTTAATACTGACCCTGGCTACTACAGGGCTCTCTACCACATGGATGAGCCGGGAAGTGACAACATACATTTATAACTCTGCCACTGAATATAAAGCCTTACAAAATCCCATTGGCCAGTGAAGACCAGCTTCAGAAATGAAATGAAGGATAATTATTCTGATATTTTTCCTGGGAGGTTTTTATGAGTGATAAGGTGATTTTTGATAGTGATTGATTTTTGATAGTGATTTTTTTTTTAAGCACAAAGGCAATGGCTGAACCAATTCTGGCATGTCCATACAGTGGAATAACAGTACTCCAGCAATGACAAAGAATAAGTTGCTGATACACACAGCCGTGTAGATGGATTGTAAGAGCATTTATACTGAGAGAAGGAAGTCTTACGCAAAAGCATATGCACTGTATGATTCTGTTGATATGGATTCTAGAACAGGCAAACTAATCTTTTTTTTAATGTTTACTTACTTTTGAGAGAGAGAGCGAGGGTGGGCGAGGGGCAGAGAGAGAGGGAGACACAAAATCCAAAGCAGGCTCAAGGCTCTGAGTTGTCAGCACAGAGCCCAACGTGGGGCTCGAACTCACAAACTATGAGAACATGACCTGAGCCGAAGTTGGACGCTCAACCGACTGCACCACCTAGGTACCCTGGCAAACTCATCTTTGATCCAAACTTTAATGACAAAAGTGCTTACCTGGAGATGGGTGAGAGCTGGAGACAGGCTGGGAAGGATATGAGGGAATTCTCTAGAGGGTAGGCAATAGTCTGTATTTTGAGAGGAGTTGGGTTACAGGGGTGTTGCTTATGATTTTATTGTATGTAAATTTTACCCACAAATGTAAACAAAATAATGATATAAGTGTTGAGGTGTTTAGCAGTGAAGGGACCGATATCTGTATTTGACTTGGAATTGTGATAACAATCCATAACAACAAAAATGGATTGATGGATGCACAGTAATTATGCAATAAGGCAAATGCAAAAAGTGAATTGTACAATCTAGCTGGTGGTTGTTCAGGTACTCATTGACCAATCCTTTGCATTTTCCTATAGGTTTGAAAATTCTATAATACAATGTTAAAAATACAATTTGAGAAAAAAACTTAGTATAAAAAAACACAAAGGTTGTAATGGTTAGTGTTTTTTGGTGATGCAATCAATATTCTTTTTTTAAAATGTTTTATTTTTGAAGGATAGAGAGTCAGGGCGTGAATGGGGGAGGAGCAGAGAGACCGAGAGAGAGACAGAATCTGAAGCAGGCTCCAGGCTCTGGGCTGTCAGCACAGAGCCCGATGTGGGGCTCGAACTCAGGACCTGCAAGATCTTGATCTGAGCTGAAGTCGGACTAACCAACTGAGACACCCAGGTGCCCTGCAATATTCTTTTAAGCACTGAGTATCCTTAGAGAAGTTAAGCTACTTGTTAAAGGTAAATGGGAATTTATTCCATCGCCTTTGCTCAAATGCTGCATAAAAGAGACATTTAAAATAATAAACACATAAGAATTTCTGAATTCACAATATGAATTGTTATGATATTAAGTTTAAAGTTAAAAACTACTTAGCATCATGCTTTTGACTACACATTTCATTTTCAATTTTTCCTTTTGTTAATCTCCATGAACTATCTTTTTTTAAATGTTTATTTATTTTTGAGAGAGAGAGAGAGACACAGAGTGTCAGCGGGGGAGGGTCAGAGACAGAGGGAGACACAGAATCCGACAACAGACTCCAGGCTCTGAGCTAGCTGTCAGCACAGAGCCCGATGCGGGGCTCGAACCCATGAACCGTGAGATCATGACCTGAGCTGAAGTCGGACGCTTAACTGACTGAGCCACCCAGGCGCCCCTCCATGAACTATCTTTAAGAGATGATAGATTCTGAAATCCGCAGAGGGATGATAAGCAGGTGATAGGACTCGATGAAGATGAATGTGCTATTTATATAATATAAATGAACTGATAAGTATTGTTGAAAATATTGATTTCAGGGTATAAATCATATCACAGCACTGATTTTTTACACCCTGAGAACTATTGAAATTCAAGAAGACTGGAATATAATTCAACAATGACCGTGACGTGTTCGAGCAGTGTATTTTGTCAGAAGGACAAAATTCAGTAGGAACATGTGCAAAAGAATACCCTTCCGGACAAAAACCCCATCAATGGGGAAGGACCAGTTATGAATCTCGGGTATCAGCAGCGACCACAATCAGCCCTTTTCACTGAATATTCACTGTCCTTGCGCTAGGATTGAATCCCACTTTGCTATGTATTTTTTTTCCTTTTCTAAATTTTTATTTAAATTTCAGTTAACATAGAGTGTAATATTAGTTTCAGTAGTAGGATTTTGTGATTCATCACTTATATACAACACCTAGTGCTCATCACAAGTGCCCTCTGTAATCCCCGTCACTTATTTAACCCATCCCCACCCACCTCCCATCCGCCAACCCTCAGTTTGTTCTCTGTCCTTAAGAGTCTGTTTGATACATATTTTTAAATAATTCGGAGAAATAAGTAAAGGTTTAAAGAGGAACAAGATGACTAAAATAATGAAAAAGTGGCCCTAGGAGGAAGATCTGAGAGAAAAGAGAAACTTCTCTAAAGGCTTCAAGATCGAAAAGGTTCAGTTTGGCTTGATTATTACCATTTTCAATTACATGAAGTGTTTCCACAGAGAGATTCTATGAAAACTAACAAGGGGAATGGATTTAAGTTGAGAGATAGTGGAGTTGTGCAAATGGAAGAATCTCTTGACATCAAGGTTGATTAGACTCTGGAATAATTACCAGGTGATGCTGTGGACCGTGCATCCCTGGAGAATTATGGAAACAAACTATAAATTGTGAGTGGATCTAGATTGACCTGCCAGAGGTTGGGGGCAAACTAGGGGATCCCTAGAAGGACCTGACTGGGCCTACATTCTATTAATAATGTTTTCTCTCCACGTAAGATTTAAACACCGGTTGGTATTAAATTACATTTTTCTTGGGGCGCCTGGGTAGCTCAGTCGGTTAGGCATCTGACCTCGGCTCAGGTCACAATCTCACAGTCTGTGGGTTCGAGCCCCACGTCGGGCTCTGTGCTGACAGCTCAGAGCCTGGAGCCTGCTTCGGATTCTGTGTCTCCCTCTCTGTCTGCCCCTCTCCCACTCACACTCTGTCTCTCTCTCTCTCTCAAAAATGAATAAACATTTAAAAAGTTGAAAAAAATAAATTATATTTTTCTAGGCTTTCTATAAGGAATGGCAATTTTAAGTTCACTTCGAAATTCACTGTGTTACTTTACAGCAGTGTGACTGTGGATAGTAATATTATATTGTATGCTTGAAATGTGCTAAAGGGGTAAATCTTAACTGTTCTCACCACGAAAAAAAAGGGGGTGAAAGAAAATGACAACCATGTGAGATGATGAGTACATCAGTTAGCTTGTAGTAGGGACTGTTCCACAATGTATAAACATACCAAAACATGACTTTGTACACCTTAAATATAAATACTTTGTGCTTGTGAATTAAACCACTAAAGCTAGAAACAAATCACTGCATTTAATGATTCTACTGTTCATTGGACTTGTTTCCTAATCAAGGACTACATGATTACTTTGGTGACTGTAACACTGTTCTTAACTTAGTTTCCGTACTTTATAATTATTAGAAAATAATTACAATATATCCTTGTCATTTTTCTCTTTCATGTTACAACGTGATCATCAGGCAGACAGTTGTATATGTGAACCATTATGTTAACGAGTATTTTCTGCTGGTGAGAGGGCCCTACCTGAGTGTCTGTTTAACGTTCTTTGCCCGTTTTTCCTGCCAGGTAACCATTTCACTATCCAGGCCAGTTAAGATGCAACGAGATGAAAATGTCATCTGGATGAATGATTTCTTTCTGAGAGTCAATGTGGCCAAAGCCTCTTGCATTTTCCATTGCAGCCTCTATTTCCGGGTTTTTTAAATCTTATTCCTTGCTTCACTTTTTCTTCTCCTTTGCAGAGCAAAGCTTGCCTCCTGTTGTGATGCTGCCCAAAACTTCATTGTTTCTCAGAATAACACTCCAGCCGGGACCAACATGAGTTACGAGGTGGAAAGCAAAAATGAAATCCTGATTAGAGAGAACATTTTTAATATGTTTCCAGCGGTGAGTAGGGGGTTTGTTGTGGTTTATTTGTGTCACCATTGCAGAGGACTCTCCTCTCACTTTACACTGTAAACTTAACACAAATGGGGGACCTAACTTAGAATGAAAATACCATATGTGGTTTAGTTGTGTAGGATGTTTGTAGCAGTCCATTTTAAAAAAGCAGTTTTGGGGGGCAGCCTGGGTGGCTCAGTCGGTTGAGCGTCCAAGTCTGGATATGAACTCAGGTCATGATCCCAGGGTCGTGGGATGGAGCCCTGCACTGATCTCTGCACTGAGTGTGGAGCCTGCTTGAGGTTCCCTCTCTTTCTCTCTCTGCCCCTCCCCTGCTCATGCTCGCTCAGTCTCTCTAAAAAATAAATAAATAAAAAGGCAATTTTGAATGTAAGTAGCTCTGTGGGGAATATATTTATATCTTAAAATGTAAGTTCTCCGAGTCCTTGAGTCTTCATGACTCATCCTTGAATGAGATGAGGTCCTCGGGCTTCCTGCACAGCAATTACTGGGGCTTGGGAAGAGGACCATTTTTCACCTGGAATGAGATTCACCCAGTTGTCAGTTTTGGTGACTGAATCGCTTTGTCCACAAAGAACTGCAGGTTTATGTGGCTAATCTTTGGGAAGTAAATATGTTAAGAATTTGAGTAAGCTCACAAGACAGGGACTTCTGGGTGGTGTGTTCATCGATGTATCCCAAGCTCTAGAACATTCCCCAGTGCGTATATGTGCATTTGTTGTGTAGTCACTGAATAAACTAGTGAGTAACAACACAGTGTCATTACAAGAATACAAGAAGAAACTTCTTGAATATAAATCTGAACTTGGGGAAAATTTTTGTCCTGAAGAGAATCCTGTGGCTTATAAACACACACTCTCGGGCATCTTTCATGATGTGATGAAAAGCAATTAAGCTAAGGCACTATGGTCAAACATGGGATGACTTTACCAACTGTAGAATATTCAGTTCTTACCATTAATTCCCTTTTGTTAGACCTTGGATCTCTAACAACTAATTTATCGATCATGCAAGTTCTTCCATTTTTTCTTTTAATATTACAATTCAAAGGAAGACAAATATGCTGGGGCTGATCGAGAACTGAATAGCAAATGATAGAGAATAAATATTGCACATTTTCTGGGAGGAAAGGGGGATCAAAAAAACTCATAAAGCATTTCTAAAAATGCCCTCATGATCCACTGAAATTACCAATAATCAAAAAGAAAATAAGTGAAGCATTCATATCCCTTATCAAGGAGGGCCTGGGAGAGTTTCACAGTGAGTGACTCTTTCACCTCTGCGTTTTTTCCCTAGTGTTTTCTTTGCTGTAGACTGACGAGAACAGAGAAGCAGCAGGTATTTTTTTGCTTCTAATTGGCACCTTGAAAAGAATAACTTAACCGAGACTTGATAATTCTGTATGCCGTTAACAACAGCATCCATTTTCCAAATTTACACTGATTTTACAGAATCAGAGGAGGGGAAATTCTGAAGTCAGTACAATAACAATTGCAAAGCTACGCCACTCCTTTTCTGTGGATGAGGCATGTGAGGGAGCTGACCTCCTCCTCACCCTGCTTCCTGCACCACCCCCCGGGGCTCCCCTCTGCCACACCGCGCTCTGTAAGACTGTGGGGCACAGAGCAAGCCGATGACAATAGCTACTTTTGATGAATGTTGTGAAGTCATTTCCTCCAAACTTCTGCTAAGTTATTTCAAAAGAAAACAACGAAGTCGGTTTTTGACCGAAGTGAGCAATGAGCAGGCATCGCTCAGCGTGGCACAAATTTTCCATTTTCTTCTGAGCTTTATTTTAAGAAACATTGGTGTTTGTAATTCAGGTGAACTCGCACCAAACGTGAGATCCCAGAGCATAAGGGCCTTTTCACCCAGTTGACCAAGAAGCCAGAGAAAAACATTCACTAGTTTGAGTGCTTAATTGGAGATGTTCCCTTCAGTAATCTCTTCTGTTGTGCCATTTAGAGCATATTTGCATCCCACCCAATCTATAAAATTCAGAGTTTATTGTGGTGCTGTTTAGCAAACACAGTTGGAAGACATCTTGAGCTAGAAGCACAGTGGATTTGAAATAACCTCTGGTATTTGGGAACCATTAATTTAAGAACCAGGTGCTGCCGGGCCTTGCAGCTACAAAGAGGAATAAGGCACATAATTAAATTAACATTTTGTTCGTTGACTATGAGAAGCTGTATAATGCGTAGTGAATGAGAGCATGGGCTCCTTCAGGGGTTTGAATCCCAGCTCTGGCACCTGCTAGCCATTACTGAAACCCCTGCCTTTTTTTCCCATCTGTAAAATGCTCATGAGGTTATTGTATGTATTACCCGTGTTAGTAAGTTTTGCACTTGGAATGATGTCTCTTGTATGATACACACCATCTGATTTTTAATTGTCAGAGACAAACCTAGTACTGAACCAGGGTTTTCTTTGCCTGTTTGGCAGCTCCCGAATGGAACGTCAGGAGCGCAAAACAGTCATAGGGATTCAGGGGTTCCTTTGGGCTTCTCAGAAGCACAGTGGCCCTGAGGCATTGCCATTGGTACCGGTAAACCGGTTTGGGGCAGTTGGGGGCCCTGATTTGTAGCGCTGGCTGATTTGGGTGGTGTAAGTACCCCTCACTGTGGCTGATTTAAATTTACCAATGTGTAGTAGTAGTAGTATTTTATTTCTTTTCTAGAGTAAGTGAGTAGGGGAGATGAGCAGAGGGTGAGAGAGAGAGAAAGAAAATCTTAAGCAAGCTCTTCCACACTCGTGAAGCCCGACATGGGTTCAATCCTGCAACCTTGGGATCATGACCTGAGCTGAAATCAAGTCAGATGCTCAACAGACTAAGCCGCCCAGGCACCCCAGATTTACCCGTGGTTTAACAACAGTTTACACAGTTCCTGAATGCTTACCAGGTGGCCCCACAGGCGGGTACAGGTGGGCGTCAGCACAAGGCTGGAGGCGGTACCAGGGCAGGCCACTGAGCCAGCCGGCATTTACTATAAAATCTCCGTGTACCTTGAGTTATTCAAGGTCTACAGTGAAAGATGAGGGGCAGCTAAGAGTCAGAAACACCCTCTGTGCCCTTGAGGACCTCCAGCTGAATTCTAAAGACAGAACAGGTGAATCAGGACCATGTCACTGTGGAGTCTGAGCTGGAATCCTCTGTGTTGCCCAAGGTCACATCGTTATTTCAGGGAAAGTGACCAAGAAAGGGAAAGTGCGCTGTTGAATCGAGACACCATATTTCAAACTGGGAAGGATTTGGTAAAAGAGGGAACCTTTGGGGGTAGGCAAGTCCGGTCCTTGGAGGAAATATAAAAGATTCAGGCCTTGGAAATTAACTTGAAATATGTCAGCACAGAGTTAGTAGGCCTCCCTGAAGACCGTGGCTGGTCATTTGCAGAGAGATGGCAGGCATAAATCTCATGTCATCACTGAGCCTGAAGGTCTAACTATTTAAGAAACACGGAAAGCTTCCGCTAAATTAGCTATTAATTTTATGCCTGAGAATAGAGGATTTAATGATACTTGCTAATTGCTTTATTTCCTCTGTATGGCTGAAAACGTTCCTGTTTGTCGGAAAGGCTCAATGTGGGATTTTGCCGTTCTAATGTTATTTCCTTAATGACGCAGTATAAAATACATGAAGTTACATTTTACAAACAAATGTATTATATTCTATATTATTACATTATATTTTATTTGATGCACTGTATATACATGAAGTTACATTTCATAAATGTATTATATTTTATATTATTACATTATATTGTATTGGAAACACTGTATATTTCTCTCAAGAGAAATGAAAGGTATAGTATAGGTTTATACAATATTTTATTATAAGTCATAAGTTGATCAGTTGTGGTATTTGCTACTTCTGCTTTTTTTTTCCTCGCTTTTTTCTTCCCTTAGCGTGTATAAATATTAAGCCACTCGAATTAAGCCATGATGGTTATGGGTCTGAAACTAAAGCTTTTTCATGGTAGCTTTTCACTTTCTCCTGATAGTCGCAGCCTTTTATGGAATACCCTTACAATCAGTGTGCCGTGGTTGGAAATGGGGGAATCCTGAATAAGTCTCTTTGTGGAGCCGAAATAGACAAGTCCGACTTCGTTTTTAGGTAAGACCTGTCAAATTGCTTTCTTTGAAAATAAATATCTGTTGGATATCTTAAAGGGCTAGTATAAAAGTACTCCGTGTAAATTTTGACCTTTGAGCTGTGTTGCTTAAATGTACAAGTGATCTAGATAGCCTTTCCTGAAGTGTTAAATGGATCATGGTTTCCTCAGCATGTTAATACCAGAAGGGGAAAACTGGGCTATGGCCACTTTGCAGAAACTCTGCTTGAGATCATGGTGAAAGAGAGCCTTCGCTGCAGGACTTCTCAGGGCCTTCAGTGTGGTAAGGATACCATGGCTCCCTGAGAAGGACTCCCGAGAGTAGTAGTTCCCAGGTTCACCTGAAGGGGAAAAAAATAAAAATAAAAATAAAAATAAAAAAATATATATATATATACATATATATATATACACGTATATATGGAGAGAGAGAGAGATACATAGATAGATACAGATATATACACACACCCGGATAATTATTGTTTATATATTTTTAAAATTTTTTTAACAAAGCATGTCAAGAGTTTTGCTCTTAGATAATACTTGAGAAAATGCTGACCTTCACATTTCATTGCCATGCTACACCATTGTTTATTTAGTTTTCTGGCTTGAAATTAGAAAACAAAAGAAATAGTGGAGCTTCTAAATTCTGGTCTTTTAAAGTGTTTGTGTCTCAATACCCGCTAGCTTGCAAAAAAGAAAGCAAAAGTGTTTTCTCTGTGTGCCTGTGCTAACAAGCCAGGCTACAGGGTTTCTGCGCTTTCAGAATCCCACGGAAGGGTGATTCATCCCTGTGAGGAAGGATTTCAACTGAAATGCACCTTTTTAAGAAGTAAGTCGCAATGTGTTGCGTCCTATTTCAGAGGTACTGATTTCATACAACAGAGGGCATCCTTTGATCCTTATTGATTTAATGCTGCCCTTTTTAGCAACTGAAAAGGAAGATTTTGAGTCGGTAGCTCCCCCTCACCCCCACCCCACTGCCTCACTTTAATCTCATTTAAAGTTTTTATGCTGAAGGTCATGACAGAACAATAGATTTGACAGTCCAGCAGGTCACTGAATGTGCTCCTCATGATTAATGTCAAAATGACCAGTACCTGAATGATGTGGCCATTTTGTCAAAGCACTCAGTATGAAAAGGCCTTAATGAAGATATATAATTCTTCTCGTAGTAGACTGTGTATAGACTCAAAACTCCCAAAACATCTGTGGGGGTGTTTATGCCCAACTGCCATTTTACCTTATAGCAAACATAGGAAATACAGGTTTAGAGTTTATAAAAATACAAACAAAGGGGGCACCTGGGTGGCTCAGTCAGTTGAGCGTCCAACTTCAGCTCAGGTCATGATCTCACAGTCCGTGAGTTCAAGCCCTGCATCAGGCTCTGTGCTGACAGCTCAGAGCCTGGACTGTGCTTCCAATTCTGTGTCTTCTCTCTGCTTCTCCCCACTCACTCTGTCTCTGTCTGTCTCTCAAGAATGAATAAATGTTCAAAAAAAAAAAAAAATTAAGGGGCACCTGGGTGGCTCAGTCAGTTAAGCGCCTGACTTCGACTCAGGTTATGATCTCATGGTTAGTAGGTTCAAGCCCCGTGTCGGGCTCTGTACTGACAGCCAGCTCAGTGCCTGGAGCCTGCTTCAGATTCTGTGCCTCCCTGTTTTTCTGACCCTCCCCTGCTCACGCTGTCTCTCTCTCTCAGAAATAAATAAAAAAAAATTTTAAATAAATAAAAATACAAAGATCTCAACAACTACTTAATTTATAACTCTACAATGAGTCTGCATTTGCTTAGGCTCAGATATATATGTTGCAGACACTGAGGTCCCTGTGAAGTTAGCTGTCCAGGCTGAAAGGCCAAATGGGGGTTTAGATGTGGTCGGGGTCATTAAAATTTATGTCAGTGTTAAGCCTGCACTGATTTTGGCCATACGTGTCCAGAGTTTTATAAAAGCAACATGGAAACTGCTTATTATTCGTTTTTCCTTCCAAAAGATTGGGAGCTCCCAGTGAAGTATGTAAGGTACAAAAAATGGAGTGATTAATGGTTTTACCAAGTACTACTTAATGTGGACAGTGCTCAGGATTTCTCCTGGGAGTCTCTCCTTTGATGCTATTTTGGAAATCACCTTTGATTTTCAAAAGAATATGAGACTGTTTTAGAAAGTAGATTTGTTACTACAGGGTGTCCATTAGTGAGGGCATTTCCGTGGTCTATTATCTGCAGTTAATATTCATTTTTCCCAAGGTGCCATATACAATTGTTTTCTGATATATCTTTTTTTATATATACAATCAATGAGAGATGTCTATGGTTTATCTGATTTTGTTTCATAGAGTGTGGAATACTATTTCCGCCTCAGTCACCGCAGAGCACATCAACTTTACACAGCTTTCCTTAGGAGGCACTCAGAGATCCTTCCTTTGTATGTAATAGCTTTGAAGAAATGGTCTACTTGAAATTCTATAAGCAATACTTGGGGAGTCATAACTAACCTTCTTCTTTTTGTGAAAGGAATATAATTCTCAAAATTACAATTCTTAATTTGTTTTGAGTACTAAAGACAAATTAGTACTCAAAAGAGGAAGAAAACATTTAGATGAAAACATCATTATAGGAACATTAGAGTTTTATTTATTAACAGCCTAATTTGATACAAGAAAAACGGTCCATATGAGAATCAGGAGATTTTGTTGTTTTTTTTTAATACAGTGTGTGCTTTTGGCAGACTCTGTAACCTTAGTCCCGATGCCTTGGCTTTTTAAAATCTGTAAATTGGTGATCATACCGCTGTGGGAATATAATCAATAGAAATAATAATTTTAATAAAAGAGTTCAATACTTATTAAATAGTTTTAAATAGAAATCAGATCAATTCAGAACCCCTTGATAGAAACGATTTTCCCCAGTAAGCTAACAGTGATCATATGTGTGCATGTGCTTTTTTTTATGTTATATTCTGAAAATATGGGGGTTTTTTTGTTCTCAAATTTCAGGTGTAACCTCCCCCCAATTACAGGAAATGTTAGTAAAGACGTCGGCAGTAAAACCAATGTTGTGACTGTAAATCCCAGTATCATAAAACTCAAGTAAGTACCTCCAAGATACAGAAGTGTTTGAGAACGTTCGTTTCATTGTTTAACACATTTCTTAGTCTGAACACTAATCTCGTTGCTGAAACAGACTTGCACTGCAGCTGGAGTGACTTTTGGGGAAAAGATATAAGAATATATTCATAATGTTTTTACTTTTTCTCAAGGTAATAACTCATAAGAGGTATGACCAATTGTACTTTTTCTTTAAGGAAATCTTTTCTATTAAAATTTTTTTAATGTTTCTTTATTTTTGAAAGAGAAAGAAACAGAGTATGAGTGGGGAAGGGGCAGAGAGAGAGAGGGAGACACAGAATCCGAAGCAGCTGATGTGGGCTTCAATTCGTGAACCGTGAGATCATGACCTGAGCCAAAGTTGGATATTTAACTGACTGAGCCACCCAGGTGCCCCAGAAACCATTTTTATTTTAAAGATTTTACTTTTTTTTTAAAAGTAATTTCTATACCAATGTGGGGCTGAAACTTACAACCCCCAAGATCAAGAGTCACATGCTCAACTGACTGAGCCAGCCGGGTCCCCTGACTAATTGTACTTCTAATGTCATAAGCTGAACATTAGTAATCAAGTGAAAACTCATTTATCTCTTCATTTCTTGTTACAACGGTGAAGTTACTTTTGAGAATTTTCTTTCAGAGTTTTAGCATTACTCTTTTATCTTGGGAACCATTTCTTGATAAAACGGTTTGTTTAGAACTTCAGAGAGTGAGCCATAGGAGAACTTGGCCAAAAAAAAAGTTTTTACTTTGGATAGTTTATTACCAAAAAATAATTCCATATTTCATTTTTACAGTGTAATTACTACAAAATGTTGCTGGTTAATAAAAACTCCATACATAGCTTGACTCTGTTGTTTTCATCAAAATTGACCAGTAATCATTATTAATAAAATACACAATAGAAATATATATTCAGATAGTTCTAGTATATCTTAAGATAAAAAATATCGTATCTGTATCCCAGAAGTTAATTTTCTAAACACAGACAATCACACAGATTAGTATATTTACTAACGTATTATTTAGGTCAAACATAAAGAACTATCACAATACACAGGGAAAATTTAACATGTGTGGTGTGTGTGTATGAATATAGATATTTTAAGTTCTTCAGAGGAAATTTGTATGATCACATGCACAGAAAGATACACTAAAAACAAGAGTACAGCTCAGTGAATTTTTTTTAACGTATAGGCATTTTAAGAGTGAGCTATTTGAGAAAACATCAATCATTATTAATTTAGATGTGTTTCTGCATCAAAAAGCAAACTTAGAGAAAAAAATTACAGAAGTTGGAAATTAAAATAACATAAGAAATGTGTGTCCAGTGGGGATATAGCCTGGTAAGAAAATATAAATGAGGGGCGCCTGGGTGGCTCAGTCAGTTGAGCATCCGACTTCGGCTCAGGTCACAATCTCACGGTTAGTGAGTTCACACCCTGCGTCGGGCTCTGTGCTGACAGCTCAGAGCCTGGAGCCTGTTTCAGATTATGTGTCTCCCTTTCTCTCTGACCCTTCCCCACTTACCCCTCTATCTCTCTCTCTCAAAAATAAATAAACATTAAAAAAAGAAAGAAAATCTAAATGAAAGCCTAAGGACTCTTCAAAGGGGAGATGAAGACTTATCTCTTGATACTTACAGGATGCTTCCTTATACTTGTACTTGGACCCTGAGTCCATTGTTTGTCTCTTATAAGTAGGTCAGTTGCCTGGCCAGTGGTCACTTCAGCTTTAAGTAACCAAAACTGCTACTTGGAAGATTATAAGGATGATGATTTTTTTTAATTTGGCAGGTATGGAAACTTAAAGAAAAAGAAAGAAATATTTCTGGAGGACATTGCAACCTACGGAGACGCCTTCCTCCTTCTGCCGGCGTTTTCTTTCAGGGCCAACACCGTCGCCTCTTTTAAAGTGTATAACACGCTCAAAGAGTCTAACGCAAGACAAAAGGTTATATTTTTCCATCCCAAGTACCTGAGAAACCTCGCCCTTTTCTGGAGAACTGAAGGTGTGACCGAGTTTCGCCTGTCCTCTGGCTTGATGATCACAAGCGTGGCCGTGGAACTGTGTGAGCACGTGACGCTCTACGGGTTTTGGCCCTTCTCTCGAACGGTGGAGGACACGCCCGTCAGCCATCACTACTACGACAACAACCTGCCCAAGCGCGGCTTCCACGAGATGCCCAAAGAATACAGACAAATTCTTCAACTTCATCTGAAGGGAATCCTCAAATTACAATTCAACAAATGTGAAAGAACCTAAGCTTAGGGTCTTAAGGTGGGAACCGTGTTCCTACCATGAGGTAGGTGAGTAACAGCGATTCCCAACAGTCAAAGCGGCGGTTGCCGGGCAGAAGAGGAAGCGCCCTGAACCCGGGTTTGATCAGAGCTTCCCCACTAAGCTTGCATCCCCAGCCGCCCCTGCACCTGTTCCGATCTTTAGTTTCCCTCCCAGTCAAATGGGGACCGTGATTTGTAACTTGCTTCAGGCGAATGTGATCATCTATGAAGACTCTTGGCCAAGGATTTGGCGTGGTGACATAGGGACTCCATGATGGTTTCCTTGTTGGTATCTTTAGTGGCCATTTCTACTTTCACCAGACTGATAATGAAAGGCGTGCAGTTTTGAGGACACTTCCTGGAGAGAAGAGCTGAAATACCAGTATTCACTGGGGTTCGTTCCCCAGGCTGTCGGTGATCACCTTCTCATCCTTCTTCCTGTCCTCAAGAGTGCGTTTAAGGACTTCCAGCAGACCCTTGATTCTTCAGCAATGAAATCCTTCTCTTTGGGTAATAATGTGTTGGTTGGATTTAGGCCAATGCTTTTCCTCCTTTGTCTATATTTTTCAATCACTCTTTATAATTTATATTAATGTCCTGACTGTACCCATAAGCCTTTTCCTCTTTCACTGACAGAATCTATTTCAAGAGCATGAGGAGTTACAGTACCCAGTTTTTCTTACCTATGGTCTTATCTCTGGGGTCACACATTTGATTTAGTTTTCTTTTTTTAAAAAAATTATCAAACAGCTACTTCATACCAGACCCTGGAAAGGCTGTGTCTGTAAGAGGGACATAAAGACCAAGTCCTTCAGGAAGAAATGGACATGCGTCTGACCAAGTGTAATACGGTATGACAAATGTTACTATGACAGCTATGAATAAAGGACTGTGAGAAACAGAGGTGGGGATAATTAAATCTCTCAGGGGAATCTCTTTCAGAAAAGAGGTAATTTCTGAATGAAGCCTAGAAAATGAGTAAGGTTTTAACAAATGAAGAGGATTCTAGGTAGAGGGAATATGATGGGGAAAAAGTCCATCCCCTTGATTCTGATTCACCAAAATGAGGATATTTGAAGGCAAATCACAGCCTTTGCCCCAAAACCTGTCGCTTGAAGGGAGGTTATAGTGCATGGGAAACCATATCTGTGAAATGGGAATAATAATGACCGGATGGATTTCATGGGAAAGCTGTAAGGATTAAAATTCACAAAAACTTAATTTTCATAAGCAAAGGTGTGTATTTACATGAGAAATAAGACTCATAATTTAAACATCAAACAAAGCTCCAGTGGTATTGAATATTACCATTTTTATACCACTCCCTTACATTATGATGACACCTGGTAACATAGGTCATCTATGTATCAGCTGAATACCTTAATTGACTTAACTAAGTAGCTATGTTTTATATTTTCAACATTGCTTATTTTTGTACCGTTACAAGGAGGGCAGAAACGGGAGTGGAGCAGACTTGCCAGCCTGCTGAATTAATTACAAATACAATTCTGAATTCTTACCTTAGCCAGATTGCTGTTTTCCTAAAGGGTTACTTTTAAGAACACTGTGCTATCACTTGCTTATTTTGGTAAAGTACCTCTTTCCTTTCATTGTAGTTGACATTTTCTATGCCTTTCTTTGTTCACATTTTATTTATCTTGTAGCAGATGAACCCTTTTAGCTGCATAAATTGCTTAAAAGTTCATATATAAATAGTTCCCAAAAGGAACATGCTTTTAGTTACATGAAGTCTAATTTATTTATCTTTCTTTTTGCAATGATGAACAAGTAGCTATTTTCTACTGCTTCTAATGGATTTAATTTGTTGTAAAAATCTGCTCGCAGGATTAGCAATGTCTATCATGTTACTAACAATGGATTATTAAAAAATAGAACACTCTAAAATTGTATAGTTAGTAAAATGTTTCCCTCAAAATGTTTTCTGGGGGAGTAGAAACTTCTCTTTCTGATGATACTGGAACTATAGCATTAATGAGCAAAAGTAATAGGATATACTGAAATAAATCATTAAATATACAATACGGAGACTTAAGAAGTTATTTTAATAGAAATTACATATGATTAGGGCAGACATGACTTGAGTTCCACCCCCCCCCCCCCCCCATATAACTTCCCATTTTAACTTAGGAAAGTTTCTCTAGAATACCAAAGTAGAATCTTCAGTGTCACTGATAGAAATTTTGGAAGTATTTGAAATGGTGTTGACTCGCAGACTTCTCTGGAGCTTCCTAGGTGTAGTCCGAAACTGACCCCTGTACACAGAACACAGGGAGAGACCAAAGAAAGTGGCAGGCCACCTCAGATTGGTAAGTGGCAGTTTTAATAAGCAAGGGGCCTTGCATATGAGATGGTTTTGGGCAGCCCCAAGACCGGTAGATCTCCGCATCTGTCCGCTAAACTTGAAAGCTTATGTAGAGGCCTTAACGGAGGTCAGACATGTAAATTGTCCAAATGGTCTCAATGCCATGTCACTGTCTCTTCCTTGGGGAAGCTTCTAGGAGCAGAGAAGACAAATAGAATGCACATACCAGGGACGGGGGAGGGAATAAGAAGCCTCCAGTTGCTGGGTTCCATCTCATGGGTCAACAGGTAATCATGTCCCGTAGATGACCTCCCCCAATACTGTGAGGTCAAGAGGCAGCGTCCTAATGATACCTACGTTCCAGTAAAAGTTCAGTAGGAAAAAAGACAAGTGGAGAAAAATGTTGACGTTTCTACGTGAACATAACTGAAGTTGGTTTTCTGTGGTTATATTAATATTTGTATTGGCATCCTAAAAGCATGTTGAAATTTTGCAACAACCCTGGCTCAGTTAGGGTCTCATTAACCAAAAGTCTTTGATCAAAAAGAACATGTGCATTCTTTGTTTGTCTTTCCCAAGTTGGTCTGTAACTTGTGAAATCAGTGGGAGGCCTCGTTCACATCATAACATTTCCTCTTCGGCAGAGGACAGACAACCTTCCATGTGTCCCATTACGATGTGCCAATAGTGTCCTTTTGTGCCAAAATAGAATTTTTTAAGCTTTCTGAAATACAATAAAACAGAAATTTTGATGATTCAGCATATCAGCGGTGTGAATTGTAAATCGTGAGTCACAGTCCTTTTCACCCTATAATGGCAAAATATTACAAGTTTTACACTAAGATCAAAACCAAAAGAAAAGTGTCAACTCCAGCTCATAGATTTATAGACTAACCAGCGCGCCGGACTGTGACACTCTCACGAATCTATGGGCATAATGAGCATTGGTTAAATGTTGATGGATCAGATTTGATCTTTTGCTCTTAAACTTGAAGTGCATGGGCACTGAAAATAGAAAGCCTGATTACTGGTGCTAGAAAGTACTAAGCTCCAGTTGGGACTTCTGCTCATAATACCACACGTCACCGGTTTCTAGGGGAAATACTAGGGTGCTTGATCCCCGTTTTTACTTGTTAATGTCACTTGGCAATGTAACCAAATAGCAAGGTCCTAAAATAATTTTCATCTAAATCTGAGGGTAAGGCAAAAATGTTCATTTAAGCATGTAGTCTGTAGTGCTGCATGGGCCCTCGAAAGGGCTCCATGCACACTTGCATAGAGATAAGTATTACACAATATAATGATCCTTGATGTTTCAGATTTTTTTTTTTCTCCTAACCAAAGGGAAAGGCAAATAGATCATGAGTCTCACGAAAGAGGATTTCCTTCTGCATGTAAATATGCAGGCTCTCAGCCAGGTAATCAGCCATGGACTTTTTTTTTTCTTTTGAGGACTTTCTATGTATAGAATACTGAATTAAGCCATAAATCAGATCCTCTTTAAGGCTAGGTTTTTTTCTTGCTTACAAAAAATGTACCAGCTCAATACTATATCATGTCATGTACCCTCAATCATTCCATGAATTTCAGGAAGTTTGGGGAAAATTGGAAAATCCTGTAGATAACAGATCTGCTTACATCCTAAATAGCTACCTTAGAAGTATAGTTAATATGCAATGTAGTATATTTATGACATGCAAAACATTTGATTTATGTAACATGACATGAAAACACATTGTTATGCTAGTAAACACAAGAAATTTCAGAGATTCTCCTGAAATATCTAAAGCACTTGACCTAATAATAAGAAATAAGACTATTTCTTATTTTATTTTATTTTATTATTTTTTTTAATGTTTTATTTATTTCTAGGAGAGAGAGAGAGACAGCATGAGCAGGGGAGGGTCAGAGAGAGAGGGAGTCACAGACTCTGAAACGGGCTCCAGGCTCTGAGCTGGCAGTCAGCACAGAGCCCGACGCGGGGCTCGAACCCATGAACCGCGAGATCATTACCTAAGCAAAAGTCGGACGCGTAACTGACTAAGCCACAGGGGCGCCCCTACTTTTTTTTATTAAAAAAAAAAGATTTTTTTTAGGGGCGCCTAGGTGGTTCAGTCGATCATGACTTTAGCTCAGGTCATGATCTACTAGTCTGTGAGTTCGAGCCCCATGTCAGTCTCTGTGCTGACAGCTCAGCCTTCTTCGGATTCTGTGTCTCCCTCTCTCTTTGCCCATCCCCTACTCATGCTCTGTCTCTCAAAAAGAAACATTAAAAATTTTTTGAGGGACAGAGAGAGAGATAAACAGTAGTTATGAAGTGGGCTGTGAGCTGAAAGTAGCAAGCCTGATGTAGGGCTCGAACGCATGAACTGTGAGATCATGACCAGAGCCGAAGTCAGACACTCAACCAACTGAACCACCCAGGCGCCTTCTTGGCTTTATCTTAGATTTAAAACAATCCTCTGGGTAAGTTCACGGTTTCCTATTTGAATATGGCTTCAAGAAGGCTAACTCCATAGTAAAAGTCACCATTACTTTTCCTGAAGATGGATGGACAGGGATATTTATCTTGCTTATTTTATCTGATCTGATCTGACCTGATCTGATCTGACCTCATCTGATCTGTTCATTCTTCCTTTTTTATAATTTATTTTTTGGGCCTTTCCTTTTGGATAGTTTGTATTCCTGTATCTTCCACTTGACTAATATTTTCTTTTCCAGTGTCCAATCTGGTGTGTCAATCCCATCCAGTAAGCTTTTCATTTCAAACGTTGTTAGATGCTCAATTTGTGCCTTTTTATATCTTCCATGTCTGTATTTAACATGCTTGTGCGTTCCTCTACCTTTTTAAAAATTCTTAATGCATTCTTGAACATATGGAATATACTTAGAACCCTTTTCAGTGTCCTTTCTTATTAATTCTATCATTGCTGTAATACCTGGATCTGTTTCCACTGATAGATTTTTCTCCTCACTATGATTTGGATTTTCCTGCTTCTTTGAAAGTCCGGGATTTTTTATTGAATGCCAGATATTGTGAATTTTACTTTGGTGGGGGTTGAATATTTTGGTGTTTCTGTAAATGTGTTAAGATGTTTTCTGGGGAGAAATTAAGTTACTTTTAAGCAGTTTGTTCCTTTTTGAGGCTTACTTTTAGTCTTTATTAGTTAAAACCACAGCAGTGCTGGGGCCCCTGGGTGGCTCAGTCAGTTAAGCATCCGACTCTTGGTTTCGGCTCAGGTCATGAAGTCGCAGTTTGTGAGTTCGAGCCCCATGTGGGGCTCTGTGCTGTCAGCGCAGAGCCTGCTTGGGATTCTCTCCCTCTCCCTCTCTCTCTTTCTCTGCCCTCCCCTGCTCACTCATTCTCTCTCTTTCAAAATAAATAAATAAACTTAAAAAAAAATAAAACTAGAGCTGTGCTTATTCTAGGGTGGAGATTTTCTCATACTGAGGCAATACCCATATGAATACCCTACCCAGTACCTCCATGAATTACAAGATTTTCTTTTCTGTCTGGGAAGAATGTGAATTCTGCCCTTTTTTTAACTTTTAGGAGTTGTTTGATCTGCTTGTTTGGGGTGATTCTTTTCCAGAGTTAGGTGTGCCGGTCTGTACTCATTGAAGGCTGGAGGAGAACCCTATGCAGAGATTTCTATCTGTGAAGCCCTCTCCACTCTGGATTTGCCTTGGCACCACCTGACTCCTAAATCTATACCCTTTACTCACAGAGGCCACCGGACTCTGTCCAAGCTTCCCAACCCTGTGCTGTTGCCTGGTGACCATCTAGGCCATAAGCTAGGGCAGCTGTGGGACTTGGCTAACCTGTGTCTTTTCCTCAAGGATTACCTTCCTGAGTTGCCTAATGTTCTGTATCTGAAAAACATTGTTTTATATATCTTATATTCATATAGTTTATATATAATATAATATAATATAATATAACATAACATAATATAATATAATATAGTTAATATAGTATAATATATTTGAATTGTTTCAGATAGCAAGTTAAATCCAGTCCCTGCTTCTCTATCTTCTCCAGAAGGAGAAATTCCCATATGTTTTTAATTTTATAGCACTTGTCACCTGTCTTTTCTTGGGTTTTCTAGAAATATCATCTAGAAATTTCCTTTGCCCATCTGAAATTTGAGCCTGTTTTTTTTAAACCCCAAGTTCTATGCTAGACTACCAGAAGTCAGTGGGATTCCATGGGGCTCATTTTATTATAAGGATATAGTAAAAAAAATCTTTAATGGCTTCCTGTATACTTAGCACCTGTACAAGAACTTGGCTTACATTATTTTATCTTATTTAAGCCTAAGTCTATAAAGTAGATTTTATTATCTCCATTTTTATATATAAGAAACCCAGCTAAGAAAGGATAAGAAACTTGCCCAAAGTACATAGTATACTAGTGTCAGTGTCAAGTTTCAAATTCAGGTTGTATGCCTATAGCTGGTGTGCTTAATCAATATTTTATTCTCTCTTTCATTTCATTGTTGTTCATGTTGCTTTGTTTGAAATATAACATTATCCAAAATTTTTAATTTTATATTTATATCCTCATTGTATTGCATTTTCTTTCTTTCGTTGTCTTGTTCTTCTTGCTAAGTCCCTAATTTGAACTCTTCTGAATTAAAGAATGATGATTCAAGCTTACACAATACATTTCTATATATTTTCCTGTATTCATTCTAAAGCTTAATTAATTTTAGAAGTTTCTAATATGTTGCATCCTCCTGAGTTCCTTTTGAAATGAGCATTTAATGGGATAGATTAATTTCTTTTCTCAGCCTGGTTCTATTTTATTTGCTTTAAGGTGTGTGTGTGTGCGTGCGTGCGTGTGTGTGTGTGTGTGTGAGAGAGAGAGAGAGATCCAATAAAATATCAACACATTATTCCGTTCCTTGCCTTTTGAGGGCCTCAAAGAGATCTGAGATCCTCACTTCAGTTATTACAGTATATTCTTTGGAGGCTAATATCACCAGTCTCATCTGATACAGAAATGTGAGCAATCAGAAATCAAGGCTGTTAAAAACTTGCCGAAGATCATGGTTAGTCAAGTTAATAGCAGGAACTCAGTGTGCCAGACAAGTGGCAGACTCAAGCCTGATTCCTTCTACTGAAAGCTTGTATTAATGTGCCATGCACTGTGTGTAATACTTTACATGGATTACCATGAATTCACGCAAGATTGCAGTGTAGCTCTCAGTCTGATTTTCACAGCTGAGAAAAGGACTCAGGAGGATCAGAGTACCTTCAGCTGAAAATATCAGAAAGCTCCATCACACTGGCTTAAATCGTGTAGAATTCTTAGCCACAGATCTAGACATCCAAAACAGGGAGACCTAAGAACTCTGGTTCTGACTTCATTTCCCCACAAGAGTCATAGTTAGGCTGAACTCTGTGTGTTGAGTTCATTGTAAGATTCATTGTTGAACAAAAGCAGCACATGCAGGACTCATAAATGTACATCTGAACATATCCAGAGAGGAGGAGAGAGTCACTTCTTACCACTATCCCAGAAGAAGGAGAAAGAACTTTCCCTACGGCCCTGTCAAACCTTTCCTTGTTTCTCATTGGCTCACATTGGTCACATGTACATTTCGAAACCAATCATTGACCAAGGGAATAAAGGGAATAAGGAACCAACTTTTACAATTAATCCTAACTCTGGGATAATAGGCTTCAAGTGGAACAAGTGTGTACCTAAACAAATTTAGGCTTCTGTTGAGATGGAGGAAGGGAAGAAGAGATGTTGGAT